CTGAGAGCGGCAGTAGTCGTCCCAGATGCTCGGTTCACGGCCGGAGTCGTTCCAGGCTCCCTCCACTTGGAACGCGGCGGTTGCCGTGCCGAACAAAAACTCGGGCGGGAAGCAACGCGTCTCAAAGGCAGCAATTGGACAATAGATGCAGCTCAAGAGGCCCAGACATAGCGTGGCGGCGGTGAAGACAGAAGGCCGCATCGGACGGACGCCTTGGCAGGAGGTTCGAGAATGACCGGTTGGTCATTCGGTACTGCAATACCTTCAGCCCATCCTGATTACCGGACGGTTGGGTATACTATCATGTGGGCCACATAAATGTCATCGACTATTGAAGTTTAGATTGTGGACGTTTGTGGACACATGCATGTAGCTACGCCTTAGATCATGTTGGCTTGCAGTAGCGGGTCTGTCTCGCGAGGAAGACGGCGCGCACTGGGCGATGAGAGCTGCACCATGATGTTGCGGCCAACGACGGTCATGGCGGTAAGGGCCACAACGGCGAGAACACCGATGATGCTCAGCATCCAGCGCGAGAACGTCTGTTCGTTCACGCTCTGTAGTTCTTCCTGCGTGACTGGGCGTTCATACGTCCAGCCGTCGAGGCACCTGGTCTTTGCGACGTGGCTGAACCACTTGGCAGCAGGCCGGGGGATACGTTCGAGCCCCGTCGCCTTTGGCTCGTACTCTTCGTCTCGATCACCTGCGTTGGACGAGAAATTGACATAGTACAGTCCGAAACGAGGCGAGAAAGAGCCCCACTCATAGTTATCCAGGAACGACCAAGCCGTGTAGCCGATGATCGGGATCTTTTCCTCGACCAGACCCTTGTAGACCTGCTTGACGTATTCCTGCACGTACCACAACTGGTCAAAGTTTTCGATCTCTTCATTGCCACACCAGCCATTCTCCGTGAGCAGAATGTCGGCTGTGGGGTCTGCAGCGTGTAGCCACTTAATTGTCTTCAGGTATCCGGGTGGGTAAGCTGTAAACCACCCGCAATTAAGCTTACCGTGACGGTCTTTGCTCGAGTGACGAGAGCCTGGTAGTTCGTTTGAGTGCGAGATGTCGACACCAAGGTCGCGTTCCCAGCCTTTGCCTAGCTTCCTGCATGGTGATTTCGCCTTACGTGACACTCCACAGTCCGTCACGAGCTTGGACGAGTAGTGGTTAAGCAGGTGGAGGTCGTATGATCCCTTCAGTAGCGCCGTCTCTTCGGGCGTGAATCGTGGCAAGCGATCGCCCACCCGTTCCCGCATGATGGCAGGATAGTCACCAGTAACAAGAGGCGAGAGGAACCAACCCAGTTCGAACTGCATCTTTCTTTCGGCTGCAGCGACATCGAGCGGGTTGTTCTCGTCGAGCGGATATGCAGCATCCGAGTTCAGTGTGATGCCGATACGGGCCTTTTGGTGGAGAACGGGTGGAGAGTTCGCCTTTAGATCTCGGAAAGCTTTCACTGCGGCAGCGTGCGAACGAAGCACGTTGTGAGCCACGATGTACGCGAACGTTTCGGACTTTTTCAAGCCAGGAGCTCCTGCACCACTAGCGTATCCGGCAGTTGTGAAAGTCAGCGGTTCATTAAACGTCGTCCACATGTCCACTTTATCTGCCAGTTCGTGGAACATGAGCGTTGCGTACTCTACGTAGTGGTCTACAATGTTGGGGTTCAGCCAGCCTTGAGGAGAGAGTTCGGTGTGTAGTTCGAGTGGCAGATCCCAATGATACAACGTCAAGATCGGTACGATGTTGTTGGCGTTGAGCTCGTCGACTAGGGCGTGGTAGAACGCAAGACCCTGAGGGTTTGGTTGCATGCGTTTGGTCTCTGGATTCCAGTTCATGGCTCTCGACCACGAGACGGAGAAGCGCGAGGACTGCAGACCGGTCTCGACCATGAGCTTGATGTCGTCTCGGTAGCGATGGTAGAAGTCGTCGGCGACGTTTGCACACGCCACCTTCTTCCTATGCTGCGTGCGGCAGAATTCGTCCCAGATACTAGGAGTGCGGCCGCCTTCATTCCACGCACCCTCGACTTGGTACGCGGCGGTGGCCGATCCGAACATGAAATCCGCTGGAAAGCAACGAGGCGCGTCATCGGCAAAGACCGTTGCGCCTGCCAACGCAGCGCCGAGGAGGTGAAGAAGTCGCATCCTGTCAGTTCGAAGAATCTAGATGAGGGACCTGGCGTAAATGGCAGCCGCCGGTTCGCTTCGAAGATATCGCCAAACGGAAGTTGGATTTGATGTCATAAAGAACTTTTTTTTTTTTTTTCTTTTTTTATTGGAGCGATTCCCGCAGCCGTTTGAACTGGTTCAAATTCATAATTAGCCCTACCCTCAACAAAAAGGGACGTTCTGTTACAGACGCTGCGAAGCCCCCCCCCCCCCCCTCGCTTTCAAATAATGAGTCTGCGTCTGCGCATCAAGTTCTAACGGTAACGTCCTGCGATTTGCTGTGGCATTCGAAATTGCAGTGAGCCCAGTAGCTATGAGTCATAACGAGGACTACCGACGTGATAGATACGTCTCTCGCCAGTACGCGTACAATCGAGATGGATCTGACTCACATTGGTACGACTCAACACGTGGCAGATATGGTAGTGACGGCTATAATGATTGCAGTCGATCGGATTCCCATGGCTACGGATATCACCGGGATTATGACGTTTCCTCGCAGTACGGAGGTGGAGCCTCGAGGTACAGCGACTCTCCTGGGGAACACGACCAAGGTCACAGTGGCTATGATCGAGGATACGGCGACTACGGTGAGGGCTACAATGATCGATTCGGATCGCATGGAGGGTACGCTAGCTGGGGGAACCAAGGTGGCCACGGTAAAGGGAGAGATCGAGAACGCCATGATCGTAGCTATGGAGGAGATAGAGGCGGTGGCCACGGACGTGACGACCGTGGCTACGGCCGGCAACGAGACTATGGAAGCAACGATCGTCCTGGAGAAGAAGATCGTGGTTATGATGGAGGCCATCGCAACCGCGACGGACGCGGAGAAAGGGGCCGGAGAGGCGGTCGTGGAGGCAGTGGCTCTCAAGAAGGCCCTGGTGCAGGCTTTATCTCTGGCTCTGGATACGAGCTGATCGGAAACCCCATCTCCGACCCTCGCGTAGAAGAAGAATGGAGTGGTCGAGC